AAAAAAAAAAAAAAAATTCACCCCCCCATGACCACGAGGCTATCAGGGGACATCCACATGCAAACCATAACAATGAAGTACTACTCTGCCACAAAGAAGCATAAACTTGAGACATTTCTAGGTAAATGGGTAGACCTTGAGCTCATACTCTTAAGTGAAATAAATCAGACACATGCAATATTTCGCTGTTTTTCTGTGTGAGAAACTGAAAGTGTAAATAAGGACCAAAATATAAAAGATATTGTGTAATAGGAAGAAAATGTTCAAATGGTAAGGGGAACAAGAGAGAGGAAAGAGGTGAAGGAAGGAAGCAAAAAGAAAGAAGAAGAATAAAAGGAAAAAATGGAAAAAGGCTTTTGTAAATAAGGGGGAGGGGGAGAGGGATTGGAAGGAGGGAAAGGAAATGGGAAAAAATAATCAAGATATATAACGTACAGGTACAAATTCCACATGATAAATGTTATTATGTATATCTAAAATGTACCAATAAAACTTTAAAAAAGAAAATAAAGAGAATTTTGGACTAAAAAATAAAATGTACCAGTAAAATTAATCTTTAAAAATCTTAAAAAATCCCTGAAGCTATAGAAAGAAAACAACAACAAAAACAATACATGTTGGTCCAGATGGTAGGGTACACTTTTACACGGCTCGTAGAAATATAAAATGTAAACTAGTAGGGCCATATGGCAATCAGCAAGGAGGTTTCTCGAGAAACTAAGTCTTGAGCCAGCACCTGATCCAGATGCACTACTCCTCGGTATACAGCAAAGGAAGAGTGGGCGTACTATGGGGATATCTGCACGCTTGTATTTAGTGTGGCACAATTCACAATAGTCAAGACTGGAACCAGTCTAGGTGCCCACCGACAGAGGAAGGATGGAGAAAATATGGTACATAGCGAACGTGTGGGTATGCACAATGCAGTATAATTCAGCCATAAAGAAGACTGAAATGTTGTCATTTGCAAGACAATAAATGGAACTGGAGATTATCATGTTAGGTGAAATAAGCCAAACTCAGGAAGACAAATCTCACATGTTCTCTCCAATATCTGGAATCTAATAAAGATGACACAAGAGTAAGAGGGAGACGAGTACTAGACGACAGGAAGAGCGTAAAGGGGAGGGGGCGTAAGAGAGGGTCATGGGTGACGGCTGTGACTAAAATATATGCACTGAAACCCAGTATCTTATTAAAATTAAGAGGCACTAAGAAAACAGTGTTTGAGGTTTAGCAGCAATTTAGATTTTGGATTTTTTAGATTAGGGATGTTCAACTGGTAAAATCAAAAAAATACTTCAAAACTTGAAAAGCATGAAAATCTAAAGCACTTCTGGTCCCAAGTATTTCAGATAAGGAATCTTTGACCTTTATGAATAAGCACATGGGGCTGCAAGAAAGAGAAAGGTCAACATGGAGGCGGATACAGGACTCCAGGAGGCTGAGACAGGAGGACTGCGTGTTTGAGGCCAACTTGGGCAACTCAGCAATTTAGCAAGACCCTGTCTCAAAAAGTAAAAATAAAAAAAGGGCTGGGGATATATCTCAGTGCAAAGGCCCTGAATTCAATCCCCAGAATCACACCCAAAAATAACAGCCATAAAATAAAAAAGGAATGGAGGTAGCTGTATATATGAAATAAAATTGAGTTTTAAGACGGCAGGCTTGGAAGGGCCCAGGAAAAATCACCATACTCCTTTCCTATAGCACTGATGGGGATGTTACAGAGCTGACCATGTGGATGACAGGCAGAACTTGTAACTTTTATTTATTTTTTTTGGGGGGGGGCGTGTACGGGGATCCAATCCAGGGCCTCATGAATGCTAGGCAGGTACTGTACCTCTGTGCCACAACCTTAGTCCTGCAAATTTTATTTTTGAACTTTCTTCCCTTTTCTACTCCTCCTTATATTACATCCCAGCATACTCCAAAGGATATGAGGAAGGGGAATTGAAGGGCTTCAGATATGATTTACAAACTTTATGCCCAGTCCAAACGCTAACAATGGAATATCAGCCTTCTTGCAGACCCAGCCCCTCTGCTAGGAATGAAAAGTAGGGGGGCAGCAGGCAGGGTGGGAGAGACAGCACCATGCAGTACAGCAGTGACCTCCCAGACAGCCAGCCTAGCACTCTGTGGCCACACCTCGCTTCACTTACTTACCTTTTCCTGCAGCCTAATGTTATCCCACACCTTGCTGCACACCATACACTCAAACGCATCAATGTAATTGTCCTGGTTGATGTCTTGCACGCCCCACTTCCGTTCCCTGAGAGCCGCCAGGAGTCGCTGGTTAGAGATCTCACCCTTCAGCTTCCATTCTATGTAGGCCTTGTACAATCTGTCATCGTAGTCCAGGCGTCTAATGTAACTTGCCAGTTCTCTGGGGTGAGCAAATTCTGAGATAAGAATGGCACTTCTGTTACTGGGGAGCCAATCTTTGATGCTGGGGGACCCATAATACACAGGGACTATGCCCAGTTTTAGCGGTCTCCAGAACTTCTCTGTGATGTAGTCATCACAAACTGCATTCTCAAAGGCAAGGATAAACTTATACTGGGCAATGATCCTATAAAAGCCATCAGCATCCATAGAGGTTGGGTTTTTCAGCTGCTGAGGGAGATCTTTGTTTCGTAAACATTCACCGTAGGAATCAACCTCAATGTAAGTCATCAGCTCACGAACATAGCTGTCCCTATCTGACGGCGGGTCGCAGTCTGACTGTACATACACCAGTGGAGCAAGTCTTTTCCTTAGGTTGTTTTTGGACTGCAAAGGAACTAAGTATCGGAGTGACTTTAGGGCATCGACACCCTCCAGGTATTGGGTAGTCAGTGGCAGATGGGAATGCCTGCTGAACGTGGCCGTGTGGTTGAACAAGGTGATGACCTGCTCGTGGAAGAGCTTATAGTTGTTTTTTGGAGACTCTTCATGAAAAAGGGCCCAGTCATGATGGGCTTTTCGAGGCAGAGGTAAGCTCTCTATGTTAAAGTCAGTACCTGGAAAAACAAAATCAATTATTAGTTACGATGGAAAGAATTCTGGTCTCTAAGATTAGAGTACAGAGAAGTCTGAGGCTATAAATAAAAAGCCCCACAGCCAGGTGTGGTGGCACACACCTGCAATCCTAGCACTCAGGAGGATGAGGCAGGAGGATCGCTGTGAGTTCGAGGGTTAGCCTGGGCTACAAAGTGACTTCAAGGCCAGCCTGAACTGGAAAGTGAAACCCTATCTCACAAAGACAAAAAAGAAACAGAAAAAAATAAAAAATAAAAAGCAACACAGTGTCACTGTAAAGTGGCTAGCAGCTGATCACTGGCTTTCATCCTAAAAACTGCTCCAGATTCTAAGGGAAAATGTACTCTACTGCCTCTTACAATTGGCTTTTCATCCTGGAGATACTGTCTGTAAGAGGGCAGGGAAAATAAAAAGATCCAGACAGAGTTCGTTAAAACGAAAATAGCAAGAGAGAGGAAGCCAAAAGGAAAAAAGCAACTGGGTTTGCAGATTGATTAAAGTGGGGTGGGGGTGGGGGACAAAACCTTGCAAACGTAGCCAGAGGAAACATACAGGATGGATTTTTTTTAATCCAAAATGATCGATTTCAACAAAGTACAGTTAATCAATCTTAGTCAAAATGGTAGACAAGAGGCTTTTAAAGACAAAAGAGCTGATAATAGCACTCTGGTATAGACTGCTACAGGATGGACATGAATTAACAAGACATCAAGAAATAAAGAGGCATAACACAATTATAATTAGGAGTGATTCAGGCTTCCACAGGATTAATTGGAAAAACTCTGAAACATGATAAGGCACAGACAGAAGTGACAGATGTGGTAAGCCACTGCTTCCTGGCTGCGTGGGTGGAGATCCACTCAGGAAAAACCTATTTCTATGACTGAGAAGGAAGAATTAAGACATCTTGACAATAGGTAACACGGTGAATGTTCTGGATACATGATTTCGTGGATGGCAATCAATAAAGGAAATAGGAAAAAAGTCTATCTCCCAGCACCCACTGTGGAAAGAAACATCATATAAGTACTTAAGGCAGAATAAAACAGATTCTCTGGTCGAACTCATAAAAGTTAATTATTTAATGCCAGTGCACACAAATATAAACTCTTTGGTACCAACAGTACTGAGCAATCAGTTAATTAAAAGAGGCTTTTAAACAATTAAAGATCAGATAAGATTATATCAGAGTACCCACACTACTGATCATAGAGAAACTGCTTAAAAAAATAAATCACCTGTCTCCATAATAATACATTTTCCTCCTTAGTCATCAGTAGTGAATAACTAACATGTAAAAATGGGTACCTGCTTGTTTATTTGGCATCTCCTATATGTGACCTTGAGCATTAATAAAATAAACTTGCTCTCTGAAAAAGAAAAAAAGAATACTCATCCATACCCTGAAATGTAATAGCATACAGAGCTGGATGGTTGGCAGAGGAAAAGAAGCATTAAGCTACAAAAACAAGAAAACATGAAAGAGAATTTGAGGAGAAGGGCAATTCATCACACTGAAGCAGTTGCTGCAGAAGGGTCTGGCTTGGTCAATGGCCAGTGAGGGGAACTGAAACTCATGAAATGGAGTTAGAACATAAAGTTTCACCTATAATACAACACAGAAGCAAACCTGTTCACCTAGGAGAGAAAGTTCTAGAGACTAATGCATAGGAATCACAGGCAGAGATGAAAATTGTAAGATTAAAGGGTGAAGGGACACATGTGGCATGCTACACACCAGCAATCCCAGCTACCAGGGAGGATACAGCAGGAGGAGTGCCAGGTTTGAGGCCAGCCTGGGCAACTTAGCAAGAC